ACAACTCCCATAAACATGACCAATGAGCTGACAGATTTAACTAAAGTTAGTTGTAGCTTCCAACAAGTTGTAGCTTTGTCACTTTTGGAATTCAGAGGAAAAACTTTTTTTTTTAAGTTCTATTTTATCTGATATCGTTTGATTTGATATAATATTTTTTTTTAAAACACTTTTAGAAACTTATTTTATAAATAATTTTTTAAATATCTGTTTGATTATAAATCATTTCATTAAGGATAAAGGGGCAAAAGTTAAATTGTTGTGACTAAAAAGAAATGGGTGTCACATAACATAAAACGGGACGAAACGAAGAGAGTAGTATGATTTGTTTTAACTACTCCCTGATACTTGATCTTCTTAATAATGTTCAATTTTCCAAAAACATTTATTAATTAGAAATAGTTTTGTAAGATACATATTATATTTATTAATTTCTTAATGAATATAGTTTTGTTTTTAAAGTGACACTTAGAACCAATTTAGGATTGAATTAAGGAAATAGAATCCCAAAATAAATATTAATAAAAACTTATAAAATATTGTACAAAGTTTCTTCCTATTTTTGGGACTATCCAATTTTTTTTGTCTCAAAAAATAACAACATAACTAAACCAACATCTCCAAACAAGACACAATATTCATCAATAATATATTTGGCACACAATAAAATCGACAAGACCCCAATCTCCCTCTCCTACATATTTATTTATGTATTGTGCTTCATGCCTTATTTTATTTTATTTTTTTGTACGTTGTTAGACTATGTCTTTGGATAGAACTTTTAATGTTCTAGATAAATTAACTATAGTAGTACTAATAATTATCATTAATTTATGAAGCTAGTAAAAAAAAAATCATTTTTATTTGTTCACTATTCCAAAAATATTTTTTTATTTTTACTTGTCACGGCAACATATCAAGAAAAAATATTTTTTTCCCTCATGATTTACCCGTATTATTAATTACTTATTTTTCAAAATTATTTTTAAAATCAAATACTAAATATCAATTAATAAAGATAGTATGTAAAATAGTCATATAGATTATTATTTTCTAAATGAATCTGTCAAGGATAAATGTGACAAGTAAAATAAACGGAGGAAGTATAATATTTTGGAGGACAGCCTAAATTAAGAACAAATACCCTAAATGAATAGGAAAAAGTTGCTGTATTTCCTCTAGGCCGACAACCTCAAATTATTCATACAAAAAAATGAAAAGGTCAAAGTCACAGATTTTAATTATCTAAATATATTTGTAAAATATGAAATTATAATTAATATGGTTTAATTTAATTAATGTTACTAGCTACTCCACTAAACCTTGTTGTAATTTTAATAATATTGCTTACTAAAATGTCAAAGATAGTAAATAAACATAAGTCAGTTAATCTAATTAAATTGGGGAATAATAGAACTCCACGAAATTTCTTTTAATTAGCAAGGGAAAAGTTTTTATCAGTTGAAATTAAATCAATAGTTAGGTAGTAAATTCCAACCAAAAACTTTGGATTCTTATTGTAATTTTAGATGCTATATTCCATGGCATAAAAATTTTCACACTTTGATCTACTTTTTTTTTACGCTTTTATTACACGGTTAGAATTGAATTTAATTAATCAAATTAAAAAATGAGGGGATAAAATGTCACTTTTTTCCTAACATCCCATTGACTAATTAACACCAAATATGATGTCAATTGTTCTATACTTTATAATTTTCAAACCATTGATAATTTAACTGTTGTTACCTTGCAATTCAATTTCTTTTTACTTGCTCTTAAGAACGTATAAGTCACTATTATATATTTTTTCTGTTCTAAGTTATGTGACATTATTGGAATTTCGAGAGTTAATTTAGATTTTCTTTTATCGGAATTTTTATTTATGTATTTTGAATTTTTTTTAAGTTGTTAATTATTGTGATTTATGATTCTTTTTTTTTTTGTAGTTTTCAAATATATAAATTCTATTTCAAAATAATTAAAGCTTCTATATCTGAATTAGCGTTAAAAAATTGAAAGTTTGAATCTCGAAATTTCAACTATGTCACATAAAATTGAGATAGAAGAAATTTTTATCTCCATAGGAAATTAATGTCTTTAAAGCCCCCACCTCTTCCATCAGCAGAGGCGGAGAAAAATATTTTCACCGTTCTTTCTTACCACTAAGCTGTCAATTAATTTTATTAGAGGGTTCACAAGTTAATTTACATATATATATTTATTTAATTTTTTAATATAAATACAGAATCTACAGAAATATATTAGTGGGTTCGTTCGAACCGACAAACCCCCACCTAGCTCCGCCTCTACTTCCATGTACAGATCTGATTTATTGTTTTGTTCAAGTGTCTGAAAATTCTTCTGGTTAATGTGTATTGTGTAGTGCCATGATGGTGAAAGTTAGAATCCTAGATTACCTCTATTTGTTCTGATGACCGATATTATGTTATATTGTGTAACTATTTCATCTAAAAATTTAAGATATTAGTGATAATTTACTTTTATTTACTTAATTATATCTTCAACATAGATAAACCTAGCTAAATTACTCAGATATGTACTTGTCTCGAAAGAGCTAGATTCTTTTGAAACCAAGCCATGCTTAAAGAAAAATATAGATCAGAATGGGAGAAAAAAAAAGATGAAATACTTAAACGATTAAAAGTGCATAATTAAGGGACAAAAAATAGTAAGTGTATGATTAAGAGATCAAATTTGATAGCATTTTGGATAGTTAAAGAACTAAATTCGATAAATATATAATTAAAGGATTATTTTAGACTTACTTTTATTCCATTTTTGTCTGATTTCCGGTTAAATACTGAATTATGATTGATGAAGATGGATTATTCAACAGCCACATTTTAGGATATAATTTAATTATACTTTATAACTGCTTAAGAGACCAAAAATATTTGAAAGAAAATAGTCAGAGCTATATTGAGGTAAGATATACAAAGTGACAAAATTGATGACAATTATAATGATGCTTTTGAGAGGATTAAAATAGTAGTATTTAACTAGCAGAATCAAAGAATTGAAAGTAGCCTATAGACCTAATCATTGACAATATAATGTAGAGTTCAAACAAATACAACTCTAATCATTTGAGAATTATATTAATTATCCTTGAAATAGGTATATAGTTTTTGGATTAATTTCATGTATTCAACAAATTGTTCAACTCGTACTTTACCTGCTTCCAATTCATTTTGAGCAATATATATTGAACAGAAAAAATGAACTCTATGAATTTATTCAACTAGTTGCACCAGATATCATTTAATTGTACGATTTGTTATTTAAATGAACTGAGATTTAATTTTTATTTGTAGCAAATAGCAATCGAATTTATATCTAGCGTTTGAAGCATAAATTTCTTAGCGATGCAGAATACAACGAAATACTCCCTCCGTCCCATTTTATATGTCATCCCTTTCTATAAATAGCTGGACCACAATACTTGTTATTTTATAAATTTTATGCATAAATTACCATATTTTGCCTATTATACCCTTGATAGAATAGTAGTTAATTAAACTCGTCATTTATTAATAAAGTTGACTTAAAAAAACATTAAATAAGGGTAAAGTTACATCATTTCTTAATGCAAGTGAAAAGTAAAAAGGTGACATATAAAATGAGATGGAGGGAGTATTATAATATAAAAATATACATTAATGTCCCTAAAAAAGTTATTTACGTTGAGGAACAAAAAATTTAAAAAGATTATAAAATGACCACAAGATAGTCATAGATGCTATAAGGCCACACATAATGCCTTAAAGAACCTCTTCTATACCTAATCGGTTAAACCATCACATTAAATCTTGAATTTAACATATATATATTAGTAGTCCAGTTGATTAGTTATTTGTAATTTTACCTTGTTAGCGAACATCTGATTTCTTATTATATTGTAATTTTCTTTAACCTCAATTTTTTAAAAATAAAATTATTGGCCTTGAAATATTTTTTTGTTCTTTACCAGTACAATTTAACTATTAATTATATTTTAAATAATTTAAATTTGTACATTACTCGTTTTTATATTGTTCGTGTATAAAAATTAAGGTAGAAAGCTAGTTATAAGTGTTGTCTCACTTATTCTTTTGTGTTATTAGCAACTATTAGTCGTATAGTATTATTTGTGGTCTTTTGTATACTTCAACTATTGTTTTATCCTGTTATGACTAATGTTTAGGATGATATGTCAGGTTATCTATAGTATGTTTACCATGAAATTCTTATTTCTTTCTTTGTACTGTTTTAGACCTTTTTTCTTTTCTTTTCTTTTCTTGAGTTGGGGGTCTACCGAAAATAATCTCTTTACCAAGTAAGAATAATGTTTGCATACACATTATCCTTCTTTGACCCTATTTTGTGGAATTACATTGAATATGTTTGTTTCGCGAGAAAACTTTAAAAAATAAAAGTGACACGAAAATATGTTAAATATTTAGATTTTACGGCTAACTTATTACACTTTTGAAACTATTGGTTCAAAATTGAGTACTAAAATTTTATTTTTTCTCCTTATTAAAAAAACATTATGCTCGATTGAATCTGTTAATTATATGTTACATCCCCCTGCTAATAAGTTGGAGTGGAGTAAAACATAATCAACCAAAAAGAACTAAAATCCAAAACAATAATCTTGGTGGCTTACCAACACTTTTTCTTTTTTCTTTTTTTTTTAGAAATGTTGACAAAAAATCTCACTTCTTGTGAAATTGACACTAGCAATATATTACCTAATTCTTAGTTTAATACAATTTGCTAATAAGCTAAACAAGGTTTACTATGCCACCTCTCTCTACATAATCTTTTGCCGTGTAGACTAAAACTTTGTTGTATAATTTAATATTAAGAAAATAATTGACTTCATGCTATACCAAATCTCACTTCCATGCAATTATATAAACCATCACATTTCTCCATTTTTTCTCAAAAATTATAACTTTGCAATTTTCTTAGTGCCTTTTTATTTTTGAAAAATGGGGAGATATCCATGTTGTAAAGTTGATGAAGATTTAAAGAAGGGGCCATGGACAAGTGAAGAAGATGAGAAATTGATGGATTATATTACAAAAAATGGCCATACTAATTGGCAATTAATTCCAAAAAAAGCAGGTTTAAATAGGTGTGGCAAAAGTTGTAGATTAAGGTGGACTAATTATTTAAGGCCTGATATTAAAAGAGGAGAATTCTCCATTGAAGAAGAAGAAATTATCATCAACCTTCATTCTCTTCTTGGAAACAAGTAGGATTACTCAATATTTTCCCTCTAATTTCTTGATATAGTTTCATGTTTTAATTTTGATTCATTGTTGTTACCCTTCTTGAGTTTAACTTCTCTACACCAACTGACTAACAATATAAAACTTAGATAGTTTTTACAATATTTTACCTGGAAAAAAAAAAGAGTTTTAACTCTATACAAAAGATATTTATAGGTATGTCGATCTCCTTGAAATATGGTGGGATTTTGAAATACTGAAAATGGGATATGTTATTTGTTAAGCTACTATATGGCATGATGGGTAAAAAATATTTACACCATCGATGTATGTTATATGTTATTTTAACTCCTTAATAGAATAGAAACTTTTACACATATAACCACCAGTAAAATTTATAGTAAAAATATATCTATTTATTTATATTAATGTGTATACATATTTTATTATTTCCCCGTCTCATTTTATGTGATAGCCTTTCTTTTTCAAGTCCCTCCAACTTACTATAATTTGAAACAATTTCACTTTGAAATTATCCTTTTACCCTTAATGAAATAGTTTACTATCACACAAATATCTAAAGATTGTTTTAGACCACATTTAAAGTTTTCCTTTTTTTCTTAAACATTATGTCAAGTCAAATGGTACCATGTAAAATTGGACGAAGAGAGTATTATATATTTTCTCATATACATTTGTCCAGTGGTTGTTAACTATTTGATCGAATAACAAGATGTATTAAAAGCCTTAAAAATAACTACTTCATAAAAGATGGGAAGTACCTGAAAATAGGGTTGGTTAAATAATACCTACTATGACATGTAAATATACATTGATAATATACAAATTCTTTACACTATGTTAAAATCTCTACATTTTATTGTTGATATCATGTGTTTTTCATTAACATAATTATATTATATTTTGTAGGTGGTCAAAAATTGCATCTCATCTTCCGGGAAGAACTGATAATGAAATCAAGAATTTATGGAATACGCATCTGAAGAAAAAACTTCTTAAGTCAGGAATTGATCCAGTAACACATCAACCAATAACTGATCCAAATTTACTTCTTAGCCTTTCTAATTTGATGAACCCTTTTGAATCTGCTCTTAGATTACAAGCTGAATTGACAGAAATAGCCAAAATCCATATTATTCAAAACATAATTCAAGTCCTAAATACCCCTCCTCCTACATTAATTCCATCTTTACAAGAAAATAATTACCCCATGCAACAATGTTACAATAATATTATTGCTCCATATGACCAAATTCTTACTAATGAACCTTCTCCAATTTCAAATAATTTATCGGACAATATGGTCGTAAATTCGAGTATTTTAGAGAATAATATGATTAATATTGTTGATAATAATTCAGAATATTCATCACTTCCTTCACTAGTTCCAGTTACACCTGAGAATTCAGTACCATTTGATCAGCAGATTATTGATATGATTAATCCAAGTTATTATGATGATTTTTATGCATTGGAAAAAATTCTGGATGATGAAGCAAATATTATTTGAAGATTTTATTTTTTGAATTAATTGTAATTGTGTTGTTCTAGTGTAGATATATATAGACATGTGATGCAGCTTCAATTTTATGTTAATTTTTGTGTACCTTTTTTCTTTTCTTTTTTTTCTCAATGTAATATACTTTGTGCTAGCACGAGTTCAACATTGTAAAAGTTGGCATTTTCAATATTTTTTAATACCTTTGTTTAGATATTAAAATGTTTGAAGACATAATGCATTGACTTCATCCTGGTATGAGTTAAAAAAGTGGTATCGACATGTCTGTTTATTGAAATTCCAATTCAAATTTAAGGATGGTTTTGACATTTCAATTATCAATACAAATGTACTTGTCTTAACCATAACATTTTTCTTCGTACCGAACATAAGCTAATACTCCACTTCCATTTTCATATATAGATTGCATGAGAGATCCTTTCGTGTTTGATATTCCTCATGAAAATGTTGTACACCAATAAGAAAAAGGAACTCACAAATACAAATACACTTGTCGAGTACAACCTCCATTTTAATTTATGCTAGTTTATAAGACGAGGCGCAAAACTTAAAAAAACTTATAGTCATAACATTTTTTTGACACGTTGCTTTGTAACATTTGTTTAGCTATGAATTGACCTGGGGGGATATTTGGTTATTAATTATTACTCTATTATATTATGCACACAATAGAAACAAGATTTTGTATGTAAATCCAGAAGGAGAAAGGCCCAAAAATCAAGTAGAGTATTACAATTTACACGGGCTAGTTTCAATTTTTTTGGCTCAGGAATGGTCAAGCCCGTTCAATCAAGTTTCCTGAATTATCCTAGCTAGTCTCATCTCTCTCCTTCACTTAAAAATTCTGAAAATAAACTTATTATCTTTGATTTATCAACATAAATCATAACTCTTAAGATATAGTATAGTTTTTTTACTTGCTCCAAAATAGTTTAATTCATGTTTCTGGTCCTCCTTTCATTTCATGCCAAGGACAGTGGAGATAGCTAACACTTTTTTAGTAAATATTTCAATATTTAACATGCTTTTGTTGTTATATTTCCCTTTGATTGTGTGAGTCTACTATGCTCACTCTTAGGAAATGAAAAATACCAGATGACAGTTTAGCAAATAGTCGAAACAAGATACTCATACCCAACAGAAACACAAATAAAAATCTGTAAACCAGTAAAATATAAGTTCACAGAAATGTTCAATTTTGTTCGCTTTCACAGCGAAAAGTACCAGATTTAACATTCAAATCATTTATCAACAGTGCAACACCGCAGAACCTCGATCCCAAAGCTATCTGGTAGTAGGTGCAGACACCAAGAATGATACATGTCAAAGCAAGCAGAAAAAGTAACATGTTGAATCTCCCAATGGAATTTTAAAAAAAATAAAATCAATCCATTTATAATCCTCCAAATTCCATTAGTCGGATTAATGGATCATCTGATCGGAAATGATGCACAAGTCAGGGAAAGTCAGGATTCGTAACAACTTTTTGCCACGATTTGAAGGTGATTAACCCCCCCTTATGTGGTACATTTTCACTCTTTACATCTACAGCTCAAGACAACATCTACAGCACAAGTTTTTACATGGTGCAAGATCATGAAACTGCAGAGACGCATGCTATGCATGAGGAGATGTGACGATGCACTGGAACGAGAGAAGGAACTGACACAGCAGGCATCTCATACTTACACCTGATTAGTCGTCAGCACTCAGGTTGCTGCCAATTTGATCCATGCAACTCATGTGAACTGATATCATCCTTGTGTATTGACGTCGAGCAACCAAGGTTTACCAATCCAAACCCTGGGGAGGCTATGTAACTAAACATGAAAATACATTGATAAATGAAAAAGATGCATACAATCCTCCATCAAACTGCTAGCATTTATTTTAGTATATCCAACAAAGAACAGAACACAGAATAGTAAGATCAAAGAACTACCAAGAGTTTCTCATGCCAAATCACACATATCACGTCTACGATTAAAACTTCAAATAAAACAACTCACCAGGAGAATACATGCAATTTTAAGAAACAAGACAAAGCTTTCAGTCTAAAACATTAACCAAAACAAGGCTCTTACATGAAAGGAAAAATATCAATGCGGGTAAAGATGTAACCGTAACTCAAAATCACAAGATACGGATGATCCGGAAAGGTCCCCGCATAACCAATATCTTTACGGAACATTCCCTATTTGTAAGTGGTAACTCTTGTCTAAAACACTAACTTGATACATAATATAGCAACCACAATAACTATGACTCAACCCTAAGTTAGCTGAGGTCAAATATATGAATCCATTTAGACCTGTCTCAATCCAATATTTAAAAATTTAAGTTCTCTTACACCTGAAGCTATTTACATTCATTACTAGCTTGTACATCTCTACGAGACTAAAAGACTCATTCCAAACATTCTTTTAGGACGAATTACAATAGAGTAATTCATTATGAACATTCTTCATCTCACATCAAGTGTCTGCTTCAACCCACAAGGAAAACGCTTCACAAGATAATAACACCCCACACTATGGCAAATACATCACCACAAGTTTAACAATCATTATTTTCTCGATCTGTATGTGCACATCTACAGATACTTTTGAATAAGAGCTAAATCTATGCCTGCGGATGCAGGAAACTCGCAAAGGATACAACACAAATGCCCGAATGATTCAAAAACTGTCACTCTGGAAAATTATTCATAATTTTGTTTTTTAATCCTCACTAGCAATCTTGATTACCTTCTCAATGGAAGAGAGCAGCTCCTACTTAAGAGAGTCTACATCCTTTCTTCTAATAGCCTGAAAGTGGGACCAACCCTAGGACTTCCTCCATTCCATTTCCCCAAGTCTTAACTGGATGTAAAGAAGGGAAGCTCGGTGACATTGGACTGCACAAAAGAACATTTCTAATTTTGGACCTAAGGTAATGTACAAACATGACTAAACCTCATCCAACTACGTAATTAGTATCACCTAGTATGAACCCTTTTCTTCCATTATGCCCTATTCTTCGTTAATTCTATATAGATTTCAAGAGATTGTTCATCTTTTGGAACAAATCTCCTTCCATGTAATTTTAGTTGTATCTCAGCCACTTTTTAACACCGACAATCACCATGGTTTTACACCTACAGACCGGTGCCTAGGGAGGCCAATGTAGGTCATGAACAAACCGTCTCAAAAGACAGTCTCAACATTTTATCTTCTATATGTGTTACTTGCACTTATTGCTAAATGTAATCATTTCTGATCGTGTTTACTGCACAAATAATCTTAACATCCACATTTCTATGGCACTCGCCTTGTAGATATGTTGGAGATTAGAAGTTCAATATTCACTATCATATAACCTTGCCAGTCTTACAACCGTGCAGCACAAGAATGAACTCAACGCAAAACTAATAACCTAATATTAATCAATCTTCAAGAAACGTGCCAACTAACACAATCTATTGAGTCTATGCCAAAGGGTTCCCTGAACACAAACACGTCGGCAGCAAATTCTTAGGGGAAAAAGCCAATACTAACAGTTTTCTTCCGACGTGTCCCAGTCATATTGCTTAAATAGCAAAAGTGTACGAATAACTCTAAAGCAGCAACAGAATTCAGCATTTACTCTCAAGAGTCAAATGGAAAAGAGAAAACTACACTAAAAATAAAGAGATACATTAGGGCATGCCGAGCCTTACCTACTGGTGAATCTAACTCTAAGATTTAATGATATACCCACATTATGTGAAAATAAAACATGCAACAAGGGTTTAACTTGTGGCTCATGATGAACTAAATCTGCATCTGACAAGACTAAAAAGCATAAAATACAATCAGCTGATTTTCCCAACATTAATAAAATACCTTATCAAAGAAAAGATACTGATATTCAACATAAATTAGTCTTAAGCTACCAAATTAAGGTTTGAACTGTGGTGAACATAAAAAATGTAGTTTGGAAAAGGAATAACCTCTACAAACAATCTCATAATAACTTCCACGGGAGAGACAATCAAGAATCTGCCATACAGATGCCATAGAAATAGATCTCTCAGGGATCTGATTCCTCTTGCAAGAATAAATTACATGAGCAGTAAGTGACATCATTCAAAATACAAAATTCATATGCAATAAGACCACCCTGTAAAGCAGCATGAAGGGGAAAATATTTTAAAGAACAGTCATTGAGATAAACAGCAATATTCATTTATCAAAGTTGCCAAAGGCACATATTAAGATATTTTCAGCCAGGAATTACAATTGCCTTGAAGGAAAAACTTGGTTTTCATGATAAAGAGTATCTGAAAAGGTACCTATCTCACTGCAAAGATAGAATGTACAAGTTGAACAAAGATAATCATCTAATGTTTCCAGACGACATGATCACAGCAAAGAACCTACTTATTAACTGATGTACCAACTCCCTACCTAAAATAAGTCTCTGCAGCTTGCTTGAACTTCAGCAAATTTTGCAGAGCAACCTGTTGCTACCCACAACCAAATACCAGTTTGAGTTCTGCACTTCACATTTCACACCTGAATAGGGTTCTCATTTTCTTCTATCTTAAGCGGTGAAACAGGCAATGTTCCTTCATCCTCACCACACCCGCTATTCCCAACCAAAACCCTAACTTCCTTTTCACAGTGACCATTCTTTAAACTCCCCAAGCTCTTATCATTCTGATTCAAAACATCCCAGAAAAAGTCTGTTAACACACACTCATAATTCGGCATCTTTGCGTACCCAGGGAAATAGTTAATGTCAATGATCAAATACCTATTTCCAACTCTATCATCCCTAATCACATCAAAATTAAAAAGATGCAATTTTGTCACCCGCCTAAGTCCCCTAGCTATATCAGTAAGAAAACTCAAAGGGGGGAATTCAGCATTTTCCAAATTCATCAACTTATAGTATTTATCATCGTTCTTTTCAAAATTATTCAAATTCGAAACCTGAGAAAATGGCAAGTAACTCTCTAATCTCCCTAAACCATCCTCCTTCACATCGGGTAAAGACTTCCTTTTGACACACTTCACATAATCACCAACCACATACACCTTAAAAATCACTGCCCCATGATTCACAAACTCTTGTAACACAATAGGTGGTTTCAATTTTCTCAACCCATCTTTGTTAAAAACAAGCAACATTTTGTGCGACTTTGCACTTCCATCAGCCACCAACGGCTTTGCAATCACCGGAAATTCCAAACCTTCACTTTCAAGGTTTATAGCCGACACCATCTTTGCATCATAGATTACAGTTTGCTTAGGAATCCCAAACGAAGCATTTTCACAGTCGATTTCAACCTCCCCCACCGCCTGAAGCATCGAAATCCTGTTATGCAACCGCTCAATCGCTTCGGGGGAATCAATAATAAGCGCCTGAGGAAATTCAGAACCGTACTCTTTCAGCTGACGCTTCCAATCATCACCGTCCATTTTATGTAGCACACAATCAAACGGTCCTTGATCAATCAACGGCTTGTCCGTATCGATCTTTATGAGATCAATTCCTCGTTCCTTAGCAAGGTTCACAAGGGAAACTTGAATGAAACTCGCTTGTTTCTTCGGAGCTAAAGCGTATCCAACACTATATCTCCTCATCGGCTCCGCCATTTTCATACACAAATGACCCGACCCGGCGATAAAAAAACAAAGCAATTCAGATAAAGTTGATTCAGTGTTCAAAACAGTTGAATTGATGAACAAAGGAACCACATTTTTTGTGAATTTGGGATTGAATTTGGGGAAAAGGGTTAGGGTTTTGGAGGAATTTGATTCTGGAAACTTTGATACTGATCAGTAAGGGGAGGAAGAAGGAAGTGAAATGGAGAGATTGGGGATATATATATGTGGGAGAAGGGGGATTTAGGGTTTGATAATATGACAGGCGTTGAGGTTGAGGTAGACACGTGGCGAATTTTGAGGAGAGCATGTTGATTTTCGCCGCACCAGGCTGTTTGCGGTGAGCTGGTGACGGTCACAGAAGACAACTGTAATGGTGTCAAAATAATGACGTCAATATTAGAATTTTATATAATTAACGACGTCAATATAATGTCTATAATTTACTTATATTTTATATAATGATTGTTTAAATGCTAAAATATTAGTAGTAGAAAATCATGGTAAAAAAACTAATTTGACTTTCGAATAATTAGCTAAAACATTATTACAAATAGATGTGTTTTAATCAATTTCACTATTTCTTTGTTTTTCTTAAAACTAAACAATGTTATTTTTAATTTTGGGCTAACGGGACATGACTCAATTATCCTTTAATCATTTGCATTAATTAGACAAATAATCAGAGTTAGATTCTTTTAGGATAGAGAAAAATGGGATATGATAAAATATTGCTCAACTGGTTATCACTACTACAAAGAATACTCTATTGATTGTGACTTACTTGGATTGGTTAGCTATTTGAGTACACTTGCATGGTTCAAAAGATTACAAAAAGAGAGAAACAAATTAACAATAAGGGTCGTTATGGATTAATGGATGGGATCATTTTATTTTTAATCAGCTATTTTTATTTAAGCTTTAAATAGAAAATTCTTAAAGAGGGAAGTGACCGACCTCAAAAATGGATCTTGTTGTGCAATTTTAAATTAGTGAGTTACAATATTAGTATCGAAAACATAAAAAGATAAATAAAGTGGAAAAGAGAAAAGGAATAAGTTTAAATTGACAAAGATTAATTAGGTCATGCAATTGGTGCATTGAGCTTTTTCCTTTTATAAATCTTTTCTTTTTCGAGTAGAGAATTATTAATATGTATCCGACTTTGGATGTCATGGTAATACATGGTCCATGATAATGACATACTCTAATTGATTTGGAATAATATTATAGGTTTAATTTTTTTTCTATTTAATTTGTTTTCTCATCTTAAAAACGTAATAAATCCTATCCATCTACTGTCACAAGTCTCAATGCACACTATTCTAACATTAATTTACGCTTGCATAACATGAGCTTCGAATTGACCATAACTACATGAATTTGAATAAGGTTGCAGATCAACTCGCAAACTACATAATATTGTCATATGAAAAGTCATATTCACAACGTGTACTATTCTAGTATTATTTATGCATGATTGCGTGTAGTTATATGCTCAATCAATTTGATATGATTTTGAACTGAACATCACGGCACATATCGAACGTTTTGAAGAAAAACAAATTAGGAACTTCGTAGTGTAGAAGCATTACTATATATAACGATCATATATATAAAATAAAGAAAATTAGGAATAAAGTTGAGAATATTATCAAAGATGCGAAAGAGAAAGATCTTTAGAAAGATTAAAAAGAACAACAAGTTTTTATTAAGAGACATGTGATTAGTGATTGGTGACAAATTCCTTGATTTTTTTGAAATAGATAGCCATGAAAAGGACGTGTTACATCAACAAGTTGGGGGTGTTTTGACTTATTTGTACAACAATTAATTATTGACAGGTTTATGACGTAAAAATTTAATCAATGTTTATATCATATCAATACAATTTATTATAATTAAGTAAAAGAACTCTATATTCATATACATGAGATGAATATATTAGTTTGATGAAAATATTCAATGCATATAAGATTTTTCTCGAAAAAATCATAAATTCATGATTCTAACTCGTTTTTTCTACAGAAAACAGAGCTCGAAAGAATTTTTTTTGTGTGTGTCTTCCATCTTTCTTGGCATGTTGATACATCATTTTCTTTCATTGCATGTGGGAATACTACACTTTAAATCTCAAGTTGAGTGGAATATGGTCCTCTACATATATCATCTTTTACAGGTGAAATATTTTGAAAAGGAATAATAAGGAATTAATTTTATTGTGCAAGTGAAAATTGTTGAAAACTGACCTACAAAATTGACAAAGTGGTCCAACGAAAGTTGCTTTTGTTTTTTTTAATTTCATGTATGGTGTCTGATATCCACGTCAAAGCATAATAGTTTTGCATCAGGGTCAGACTAATTACTTCAAATATACGCATTAATGCAGGATTCATTTATGAAAGCAGCACTTTCAACAAGATTTATTCAATACATAAGAGCTCAAACCTAATATCCATAATTAACGACGAAGGAATCTCAATCATCTCAGTGCGATCCATATTGGTACTCAAAGTTGTTTTGTTACCATTGCCGAAAGTTGTCCCAAAATTATTATTTTTCAATAGTTGTCCCAAAACTCAGAAGTACCCAAAAAAGGAAAATGCGTTAGAATTTTGCTACATTAATATCTGCGAATATTACACTATACATATAAAATTAAATGTTCATTTGGAGTGTTAAAAGTTTTTAGTTTTATTCGAATATATATCCGAAAAGAATAATGAGAAATTCTAAGAAGAGAATCAATTTATTTAACTTTAACGAGATTGTGGTTAGCACTTTTATTTTTTGAATTAAAATTTATATATTTTAAAAATATATAAAAAGTAATACCATATTTATAGTACTATTTTATGTTTATTGTAAATATATATTTATGAGAATCGTATTCAAAATAATTTGAGACTCCAAAATTTAAGTTTTTGATTATTATGAACCTCTTCTATTCCTTTAACTTCATTCCTGATTGTAGTCTGTGTTGTGTATACTATTATAGGTGATCATACGTTTACATATATTATCATGCCACTTGTGAGTTGTGATATGTGATATATTCAAAATCTAGACGTCAAATAATTTAGGTTGAGAATATTGAATATATTCTATATATATGCTTCACGTATATAAGACTAGACTTGATTCCAAAATTGTAAATTTTACTCAACCCTCTTTGGTTCTATATCAGGGGCGAAGCAAATGTGTATGTTATAAATTTGATCGAACCCAATAATATTGGTTTAAATTTTATATTTATATTTAAGAAATTATTAAATATTTATACAAATTATCCATTTACAACCAGTAATACTAATAGATTTTAATCTTAACTTTATAAATTTTGACTTCTAACTCCAATATTATTTGTCCTACTTATTTGACATAAATCTCTTTCCTAATAAAATAAGGTTGAGATATTTATCCTGAGTTATCAAATAAAAGGATCCCAAATTTAATTTTTTTTAAAAAGGTTGAGATATTTACGTTTAACTCATATTTTAATGCATAATAATTATTTCTATTCCGTGAACTCTTCAATTTCCTCCTTTTATCTATGCATGTATTATTTTATTTTGAAAGGAATGATTAACATACAATTAATATAATTATTAATTAAATCACATGTTAAGAGATCCGCAATAACTATCTCCAAAAGCTTAACACTTTTAGATTCAATCCCTTAATTCCCATTAGAATATTTTGTGATGATAGTCTTTAATTATTTATAAGTTGATTAAGAAAATTCCCCATAATCACGTGGGAATTAGATTTCGATTGACATATACAATAGTAATGCCACTACAAACTTATGGCTCTCATCCATTTAGGATAATGCTCCTCAATTATTTTTGTATAATATAAAGTTCTCTAAAACAAATTTAATTTGTCCTGTAAAGTTCTCTCCCTTTGTCCATGGTGAGCATGTGTTAAATATTGTCACTTCCACTTTTAGGTAAAAAGTTAGCTCTCGTTTGATTAGAGGATTAAATTATTCTGAAAGTATAATTTTGAGATTATAACTTTTGACCTAATATTTTAACAGAGATGTGGTATAAATAATCTCAAATTTGATAATATAAGGCGAGATATTTCATAATTAAGTTTAGGCTAAAAATTAATTTTATTTAGTTGAAGTTATAAAATTTATTGCCGTCAGGTCTCAACCAATCAAGATAAAAATTATTTAAATTTAATCCTAAAATATCTCATACTATCCCGTGTACTTAATTGAAGTCTTTCTCTCATGTGAAAGTCAGATAACTATCATAATTTGTTAAAAGAAAAGGAATAAAAAAAGGGTAAGAGTCCAAAGAAAATAAATGGAGGAGGAGGGGGGGG